CCTCATCATTTTCATGCCCCTCTTCTGGACCCGCTCCAACAGGTCTGTGTCTTTCTTATGCTGAGGGCTCCAGAGCTGTTGTAGAAACACACCTAAAATCTCCTGCCGGCAGTGGGACCCGCAAGGGACAGCAGGCACAGGAGAGCTGGCCGAGGGGCGGCAGGCACGCTGGTCCCGGCGATGCGCTCCCACGCAGCTGAGCACCACTTCAAAGAGAAAAAAACAGCTTTTTCCATGTGCTGGAAAACCACAGAGCGGAGTCTTTAACTAAACAAATCCTGAGTGATTTCCACATTGCTGAATGACATTTTAATAGTGGAAAAATAATGCTAAAAATTATCTACTTCATCTCTTCCTATTATCTTTTACTGGCTGGGAACGACTGCTGCAGCAAAACCAGCTCCGGATCTTCCAGTCGGCGTTTGCTGGTGCCTCCCAGCCCGCTGCAAGCAGCTGGTGAGCCAAGGTGGGGTCTGCCCGCCCCGTGCCCAGCGTGCAGAGCCCAGCAGAGCTGCCCACGTGCCGGCTGCTCCTCGCGTAGCGCTCCCGGGGAGGCACCCGGCTGCTTTGGCGCTGACAGATGAGCCACGGTGGTGCGAAGGCATGGCGGTGATGCCCATCCGGCGCGAGGAGGCAGGTGGCAGCAGGTGGTGCCTGGCTCCTGCTGTCCCCATGGGGAGCCGGCGCCTGCCCGCGTTCCACCAAGCCGCTCTGCAGGAAGATGCTTCTGGCGTTTTCTGACATGTGGTTTTTCTGACCTTAGTTCAGCCACCACCACTTAGAGCTTGCATCTAGATGAACATATCGAGTGCTGCCACACGTCCCCAGGCTGAAATCAGCGGAGCCTGGGGAGAGCAAGGCAGACCCAGCACCCAACACGTCTCTTTGTACAGCTGCAAAAGGACTGGCTCAAGCTGTGGGGATGGTGTCTAGCCAAGTGCTGTCCCCCGACTATAAGGTACAGCACCCAGCCTGTACAGCAACATGCAACACAAATGCCTCACACAAACTTTTATTATTCACTGAAACATCATAAATCTCAAAGAACTCCCCGCTTCACAGCAAATCAGCCACCAGCCCTTATGTGAGGTGTCACCTCCTACAACCCCAGCACGCACCTGCAGCTTTGCAGCCTCGGTACTTCTCGAAGTCGGGCTATTTTGGAGGTGTGCGATACTGCAGTAGGTTTCACCGTTGCTCTCATCAAGGGGAAGGTTTTCACCCTCTGAATTAAAGGCACACAAATCAGGAGCCAAACTGTCCTTCTGCCACACAACAGCCGCTCTTTGGCGTGGTGCCTGCGTAGGGTCAAGTCTTCCTTCCCTTACGAACGCAGCGCGGACTTGGTACGTGTTGGTTTCACGCAAAGCGTCCCAGTTGCCAGCCTCCCTTCCCAGCAGGTACGCAGCACGTGGGCTCCACAACAGGCTGTGGGTAAGACGGCGTGGTGCGCGTAGGGTCAAGTCTTCCTCCCCTTACGAACGCAGCGCGGACTTGGTACGTGTTGGTTTCACGCAAAGCGTCCCAGTTGCCAGCCTCCCTTCCCAGCAGGTACGCAGCACGTGGGCTCCACAACAGGCTGTGGGTAAGACCTCGCATCAAGATTTTTAGAGAAATCTGCTTGTCAGATGCAGGAACCCGCTGCAGCACTACGCATGAGGATATGGGGTTTTCCACACGTGCCGCTAACAGGACAAACATGCCTGATAGGCAAAGCTGAAAAGTAAGCATGGACTTCGCACCCCACCAGACCAAGACGCAGTTGTATAAGAGAAGCAGCGTGGTTGAAGTGAGAGGGAGCAAGACAACCAGGAAAGGCTGCAAGACTTCATACGCCATGCAGAGGGATGCAGCAAAGCCGGTACAGCCCACTGTCACCGCGTCTCCTTTTTCATTCTTACAAGGAAACTATTCCCCCGGCTCTGTTTGGCACAAACGCTGGCTCAGGACACACCTTTGGATGCCACTGAATTTGGTAAGGACATTTGGCAACACGGCTGTGCTCAAGGCCCCAGCTCCACTTCTAGTTGGCAAATTTTATAGAAGACAAGAGGAGAAACATGCTGTCCTTTCAAAAGTACTTCAAGGGAAACCTTTATCAGGGACGGAGCTCAGCAAAAATGACTGCAACAAACCAAGTTTCATTTTCACTTTGGGGTGGGGAAGAGGGTGCACTACTGGCACCAGCTGAAGAGCCTACAGCCCACTTGGAGTGTATGTGCTACAGCCTATGGCAAAGACAGGTAAGGACAGTAAATATTCAGTAATTGAGAAGAGCCAAAGGAAGCACATTGGGAAACATACTGGAAACAACAGACTTCCATAAACAAATGCCTAAAGTCTGTAGTTGTCAGCATAAAGAAACAGCTTTGCTGTAACGTCGTGAAGAAGTAAACTTTGAAAGTTGTCTATGAAATACCCTGACTACAGAAAAGCAGTGCTTTAAGACCTGTGGCTGTACACTTTCTGTACAAATGGAAAAAAAATCATGCCAGCCAGTATACCATATAAAAAAGAAAAGGCGAGAGACAAGACCTTTAGGTGACCAGTTCTTCCTCGCCAACAAAGCAGACACCTTCCCTGCAATCCCAATAATCTGCAGTTTTATTTTTGGCAGATTATAATTAAAATGGTCTTTATGGCTTTAGAGAGAAGCCACTGAGCTGCACGTTTTGATTAAAGCAGAGAGTGCGTGTGTGCGGTATGCTCTGGATGAAGGGACATCGCAGAGAGAGGCCACAGCTCTGCTCCTTCCACCTGACCCACAAACGCTGCTGGTTGTACTTGGCTCTCTTTAGTGTTCTCATTTCTCATCAGCAAGTAACAAAGTTCTGGTTGCTAACCAGTCCAATCCCAGAGGCAGAATAAAAAGTCCTTGTTAAGACCTAGAAAAGCTTCATGTTTCTAACAAAATCAAATCCAAACACGTGCAAACACTGTTCCTGGTTTGATGCATTTCGTTCAGGTTCCACCTGAACGAAATTCCAGTGCACTGGAATTTGCTTTCCCTGTAGTGATTTCATTCCTTGTCCGTTCTCCACCTTTCAGTCTTCTCAGGAGCCTTGACAAGCTATCCCTCCATTTTTGTCTTCAACATCTTTTCCTATGCACATCCTTCCTTCCCTGCCCTCTTCCGCTGTCACACCCTGTTCCTCTACAGCTATTTTCGGAAAGCAAAGACGTCCCGTGTTTTCAAGCCTCTCTTGCCTTCGCTTCCTGGTTTAGGAGAAGACACTTCCGCCAGTCCCCCATACGGGCAGCTCTCGGACTCTGGGTGATGGCCAGAGCACTCCACAGCGGGGATGAAGCCACTGTCCCACATTCCTGTCCCACACAGCTTGCACAGGTCATGCAGGCTGCAGGGGATGCGGGGTAACAGGTGGAACTGATAGAGCAGACTCCTCGCCTAGAGGGGAGAGAGAGACAAAGTCATTCACTCCTCACCAGAGGACAAACACGGAGAGCAGAGGTAGCCCGTGGCCTCCCGTCCCATCCTCCTGTTTAGCTACCTTAGAAGAGTCAAAGCTTCAGCAAAGGAGCATCCCTCCTGAACACAAACCTGAAGGTGAAACAAGGCACTGGAGACACTGCCAGGTCACAGGAGCCGCCGCACGCTGCAGCACATCCCACGGCCTTGCAGTCACTCCCAGCCCGAGATGGACTGGGGGCCCTGGCACAAAGACGAACGGCTCTGTCTGCCGTTTCCCTGAGCATGTGCAAGGGTTATCCCAACCATACCGTTACCTCCTAAGCACTCTACAGCTACCCCTTATTTCTGCAAAACTTGTTTCCAGGTAAACAGCAGCATCCTACCCTCCCAGGCTCCAGACAAGCAGGGGGATACTGGAGATGCGGAAGATGAAGCATCACTCCCTGATTTTCCCAACGCCCTGACTCATCTCTTGGGCCTGAGTCTCGGCCCACATAAGCACACAGGCATTTACCTTCCTGAGTACAAGTTCTCCGTTCATGTGCATAGCCAGGTTGCCGAAATGCAGCAGCATCTGGTCAGTGGCCAGCTGTTGTTCAATGACGTCATCCCCGTAAATCACCACGATGGCCACACAGATAAAGAGGTGGAAATAGTCAGTCTGCAATGAGAAACCAGGGGCTGGAGTACAGCACATGGAGGCAGGGGTTTGACTTAACCTTCCCACCCTCCGCAAGCACGTCCTTAGCAGAGATTTTGTGCTCCTTCCAGTTTTGCCTAGTGATATACTGAAAATGGGTTATTGGTGAATTCTGAATCGCAGCTGAGTCAAAGTCTCTTGCTTTTAGAGCATGGGAGCAAGGTTTGGACCCCAGCTTTCAAAGCAGACTAGTGATTTTTGGGAAGAAGTTTTCCAGCTGTGTAAGAGAAGTCTGAACTTCAGAAGTGGATGTTCAGCACTTTCTGAAAAACCTCCTTTTGAAGCCTGGACATCCTCAAGTAGGAGAGGCAGGTGTCCATCCTCCGTGCTACATAGATAAACCTCTTTGATAGTTACAGACCCTTTGTAACACCTACTTATTTTGGATACTTTGCTACTAAGAGCCTTTAAGGAAGTGTTCTGCAACACTTGCTGAGATGGTGAAGATTCAGCAAAGGACACAGTGCCGCCCGGTGTGCGCTGTGCCCATCTCCAGCTCTCTAACCTGATAGTGAGCCCAGCATGCTTCCCACATGCGCAAAGCCTCAGCATCTGGAAATTCACGTTTAAAACAGAGGAGGATCCAACGGTGACAAAAAAGCATCTGCAGGCCATCCTCTCCCAAGGAAGAAAGGTGCTGGTAGAAGCGCGGGTGCATGAGCCGTAGCAGCTCTCGCAGGTACATCTGGAAAAGATGCTCTCAGCTCAGCCACTGCCTCGTGCACAAGGACTCGCGCCGCCCTCACCCGTCATCCCGGGGAGCCCCCCACAGCGTGCCAGACCTGGGCTCCCGCAGAGCTGGCCACAGTTCTCTTCTCTCACAAAAAGCTCCAGCTTTATGGCCTGTTTATTACAGCACAGCCAGGAGCACGCTTGGATCTATCATTAAAGGCCAGAGCTCACAGGCGACGGCAGCTATTTCACAAGGAAGGATGGAGGGTTAGAAGAAAAATCCCATGACAGCTACATTGTGAAAAGAAAGAAGGGGAGGGATTCAGGCTGAGGAAAGCAGCTAGAGCCTTAAAAACTAGAGAAAAGAAAGGACATCGCTATCTCTGGCAATATTTCATTTCAATAGAGGCCGAGCAATATGGAAGTGATTTTGGAAAGCCTGGCTATACAGGCACATTAGAGTGCATAAATCTGTACATTAACTAACTGCACCTCACCAGCAGCCTCCCATGGGGTTTCCACCACAAGTTTACCACTTTAAATTGGTGCCATCCTGACCCGGACAGGAGTGTTCAGGTTTAGAATGGATTTTTCAGGATCTTAACCAGAAAACAACTGACACTCATGTTAAAACCTAAAAAGTTCCCATTTTTAAACAAGATCACCTTATTTTAAGAACCTCTGTCAGATATATAAAGCTTTTCGTTTGGACATCGTTTTAAAAATCTTTTAAAAATATTAAGACCTTAAAAAAACCACCACAAAGAAGAGGGCTGCAGCTCAATCAACTCCTCTGCCTCATTCACACCAAATGCCCCAGAATCAGGACAAAAACGAACCAGCGAGTCTTCACTGCCTGAGAGAAGTGCAAAGAGAAAGCAAGCAGCATCCTAAATACATTTGGTCATAAAAGATTCCTTGAATTAGCACCCTTTAGCATAGCCCAGGTAACTTTACTCTGACAATTTATTGGCTATAAATGCCTCTGGAGTGTCCCAATCACCCAGGATCAATTTTATCCATCAGGTATTTTGTGGCTTTGGAGTGTGATTCGGCACGCTGGAACTCAACAGCCCAGGTAACTGCTCTATGGCATTCTTCTAATTTGACTGGGGAGAGGAGAAGCTAAAGACAGGGCTAAAGGGAGCTCAGCATTCAGCCTCACCAGCTGTTTCTCCATATCCTCATCCCGGGGTGAGCTGATGAAGATCGTGTTCTGCATCAATCCTACAAAGCACCAGAAAGTATCCGACTCATCTAGGACCTCTGCCAGGAGTGGGGCAACCAGGTCGGACATCCCCTGGGAGTATCCAATTGTTGGGTTAAATACTGCATAGTTCAGCAAGATCCTCCTGGAGAAGAGATGCAAATGGAGAGGTGAGACACGGAGGGGGCACGTCACAGCTGAGCGCAGCACCCTTTCCCTTCTACCCCAAACTCCCACCATACAGGCTGAGTCAGGCAGAGTGCAGAAAAGCAACAGATCATTCCTGCCATCTAAAAGATTAACTTGCAATTCCACCCGGAGGCTTGTGAACTTTTGAGCACCTGTACAGCATGTTGCATCCCACAGAATCGCTTTCCCTAAAACAACTAAATCTAGAAGCGTAACAAAGATACACTAACGCTATACCTAACTGGAACTCTCGTTTTTTAGGATTACAACATTTTGAATCAATCCAAAGAGGCTCCTGGATGGACAAGAACTCTGAAGAGCACGCAGCAGCCTAAGACAATGGATTTGAACAGAACTCCTTAGGCTCCTGTTTTCCAACTGCAGGCCAGCCCGCTGGGAACAGTGCAGTAGGAACAAGCAACACAGTTCATCTCAGGTACAAAGACACACAACCCTACTGTAAGGTGCTTTAACACATACAGATAAACCCTGCTGCAAACATCAGTCCAGTGAAATAAACTCCAGGAGAAGGTTTTGCATACATAGACACCAAAATATAAAAAGAAAAGGAGAATTTAAAAAGACTAAGAGGACAGAAACGAAGGGCCCATGGGAAAGGAGAGATGATGCCTACACATCCATGGGGCTCCAAGCCATACTGTTAGATGAAATCCAACTGTTTTGTAGGCACGCATTTACAAGTCACACACCCATGAAGCAGACTCTGGTGTGCTCATCCTCCACCCCATCAGGAGAACCACAGACCCAAGCAACTGCCCACAACCCTGCTGCAGCACCGATGACCCTCCCATAGCCACAGAAGGCTCACACCTCTTCTGTGCCTATGTATGCAGGGAAGCTAGGTGATGGGAGCAGGGTTATTATATCAAGAAGTAAATGGCTAAAGCAGCAGTAAAAGCACTGGGGAAGAAGTCCTTGTTTCTGCATCACTTGGTACCAGCCGCCACATGCACGGTGCTCTTCAGCATTCCCAAGGCAGCAACCTAGGCAGCCTGGGCCAGGGACGCTTACCGAGTTTCTACACATTCAGTAGGACACGTTGTTTGGGACACTAGAATCAGACACTTCACCTCATAGTTTCCACATTTGGGTTGTCCTCCCCTCGAAAGAACTGGTTGCTGCGGTCAGTCCTCACGACATCTTTATCTACTGTGAACTGTACTTTACGCCAAAAATCCTTCTGTTCATCTGGAGTCATCGAAAGCCTGAAAATTGAGCAGCAACAGGAGTGCGTTGCCAAGAGAGGAATATGATTGCCACAAGGAACAAAAAGCCTTATTTCAGCTTTAGTTTTCAGAGAAAAACTATTCCTGTACGGAGTTGTCCCATCACCTGAAAAACAGACAAGCAGGTCTGTTCAGAACAGCAGATTTTCTTTCCAAATGGATTACTAGAAGGAGCCTCCTGGGTTATAAATGGGATGATATGATGTGTTTTCTGCGATAAACTCCACTTCAGAAGCAGTCGGACTCTGCTCTCCACTGCTCCTTGTGGGTGGCACACCAGAACCCACCACTCTGTTTTGATTGTCTCCTAATTAATAATACTGTTGTCCTTCTCTGGCTTAAATGTACCCACATCTAGTTTACAACATACAGTTCTTGCAGTAATAACTTCCTTGAATTAGATATCTCTTCTTCTTCCCTATTTTTACAACCGATATATTTATAAAGAAATATAAGATCCCATTTTCACCTTCAGTGTTCTAAACCATGCTAAGCTGGTAGTCTTGCCTGTGAGATAAGCTTCCTTACGTGGTACTGGCGAGCCTGTTACAAAAACCCAAGTAAGATAATATTTGAGCTGTATGGTATTAGCTCCAGACCCTCAAGAGGTCAGCTGTGCCTGGTACACCTCCTTTACCATCCCTCTCGCTTCTCTACTCCAATCAGCTTCTTCTGAAACGAAGGAGGCAGAGACACCGTACGTCACCAGTGGTATTACTGCGACATCAGGCCTGAGGAGAGATGAGCAGGAGAGGATGAAGCTGGTCTGTTACCTTTTCTCCTGGATGTCAGAGTACTCCTTCCTCTTCTGCAGTCTCAGTGCCTCCCTTTCTTCAGAGGTGGACTCATAGCTGTAGTAGTGCAGCAGAAAGGGCCACACCTCCCCACGGATGGAAATATCAATCCCACCAAAGAAAATGGCCTGGAAGAAGGAGCAAAAGTTATGACTGGTACAGTTTTAACATTCCCAAAAACAGCAACAAGAAACTGCCCGCTACTATGCTTTGGTGGCTTTGCAGTTCTTTCCTGACAAGTGACGCCTTGATTCAAGCTCCTGCAATTTGCACATGTTTAGAGGGAAAGTGCTGGCCTTCTATTCCCAGACAAGACACAAATCGGGCTCATTTCAATGTCAATAACCCCCCCTGGAGAGGCTCTATGATTAACGTGTCGTTCTCATGTCACGGCTTAATCCCCAACCTTGGAGACACTGCATTTCACTGCAAACTTCTCTCTCAGGACCTGGACCCAGTGCTCCCCTGCAAGCCCTGCATTATTTCATACACTAATCTCAATTTTTCTGTCTTTGATTTGTTCACACTGCATTTTGCAAACACGGCTAGCACTGGACACTTTGGTTCACTAATTCCAACCGGCAGCAGAAGCCGGAGAGCTCACCCTCCTCGGTCAGAGAGATGCTCTACCATCCTGCCTGCAGCAGACTCATCTGCAGTCCCAGCAAGACCTCCAGCCAAGCACTATATGCCAGTCTTTATGCTCTCAACTGCCCAGTTCTTGCCCCCAGCATGAAAACAAACTCTTGCAGCTTCCACTTGGGGACTCGCACTCTGCGGCAGGAGAGAAAGGATCAAAACCGCAGCAGCCAGCCCTCTCACCTTCTGCAGCTTGTACTCCTCTTCCACCTGTCCGGATTCATTCAGGTGATGGAGCCAGGCAGACACATCAAGACGCTTGTACGTGTTCTCCTCCGGGTGGGTTTCTGAGGAGGGCAGCTTGGGACGGCGGATGGAGAACTGCATACATGTTTTCTCATCAGTAAGCTGCTGAACGGGGGGAAAACAAAACAAAAAACTGGAGGTAGGAGCCAGAGATAGCAGCAGAGTATGAAACCCAGCAATTTTCAGAGCAGGAAAACCTTTTTGCATGGTTCACGTAGGATTAAGCACTGAGGCGCTGCACTTGGGGAGGGTTTTTTTTAAATTCCAACCATTACAATAGCAAGAGTGATTAGAATAATTAAAAATCTGAGTACCACAAAACAGCTTCGTCTTAAAAAAAAATTGTTTTCATTCCTCCCCCAATCTTATCCCTGACCTGAAACTGAATTAATGCTGCTTACAGCAAAACTTCACCCTGCCAGGAATGCCTGCAATAAATTACATATGATTGGCCATATACAAAGGGATTGCTGTTAGGCAAGCAGGGAACTGCACTGCCAGGCTCTCTAAGGGCACTCATGATCCCAGTGCAAGACTGCAGCTGACATTTAATTTAAAAATCAAAGGTTGTTCAATGCAAAAAGTGAGCCCATGCGACCATAATAAGAAAAGCAGCAGGGGGCTCTGTGGGAAGGATGGAAATTTAAAAATCACTGTTTCTAATAAGCACATACAGTATCTTAAACAGATAATTAAAGAGCTCTTATCACATTTGTATGTAGATTGAACAAAATATGGCAAGATGCCTTGTCAAAACATTTTCCAATGCAGTGTGCTACGCTTCACAAAATGGATGAAAGACTCTGACAGAATTTCAGACCTACCACTGCAGATTTCCCAGCCACCTTACATGCCTAAAGCACAGTGCTGACCTGTCGGGTCTAGCAAAATAACTACCCAAGCAAGTCTTCTGGATTATCTTCCCCCATATTCCACAGGCAGAACAGGAATGGATGGGGATAAGCGAGCACAACAGAGACCTCACGTCCGACTCGCAGTTGCATCCTAAACAACATCCAACACATTGTAGCTTTCTGCCTGACTTGGTGACATGAACTTATAGCTTCATTTCTCCAACACACTCCCCTGGCTAAAAACCTAAGCGTGAAACATCTGCTAGAAAAACCCTCTTTGCCCCATGAGCCTTGCTCAGGTACCTGGTCCTTGAGATGGGTCTCTGTGCAGTACTTCCATTGCTGAAACACCTCAGACAATTTATCCAGGCCACCATGGTGAAAATGGAAGATCTTGTACTGGCTCTCCCTGCTCGCAACAACCAGTTGTCCACAGGTGCATGCCTCGTCGCTGTGGGACAAAACAACGGGGGAGAACAACCTGCATTTATTGCCCAGGATAACGAGGAAGGGGAAACATCACATGAAAGAGATGTGGAAAGCAAATTAAAAAGAAGCGTAGCATGAAATCGTCCCTTAAAACAGGGCGCAGAAGTAATTTTACAGCTCTGGGACTCGATGATCCTTATGGGTCCCTTCCAACTTGAGATATTTTATGATTCCATGATATGGCCATAGTGACCATTTTCCCCAAGAAGCTCCACTCATGCCTGGTAACGGGCAGTCTTTTACCCTTCCACCATGTGAAGGAATTAAATTTTGTCTTCCCTCGAGAACAAAAACCCAAGAAGTCTGCCCCAGCAACATTAAGGCAGTACACAAAGTCAGCTCCTAGCGATGAGCTGACTTGGTCGCACACAGCATTGTCTAAAGAAGCAGGGAGTGAGAGCAAAAAGAGAGAGTAAAAATGTTTTTAATAACTTTTGTAATAATTTGAAAGATAACTGAAGAGGCTAAGAGCAGCAGGACCCTAGAGGAGCCCTGGTGAGGGGCAGGCAAGGGAGAAGGTACCATAGATAAAGAGATGTTTTCCACACCTCCAGGTTATTTTAAACATTTTTGGTAAGATAGCTAAGAGCAACCTTTACCTTACTAGGGAAAAAAATCCTTTAGGCCCCATAACTGTAATTCAGAGGCTCTCCCGGGGAAGGCTGACACTTGCTTTCCTGCAGACAACCATTAGGGAAAGACTTCCAAGGAGGACTGCAGAAGCCATCTGCCCCCAGAGCCCAGTGCGCACTGATCCAGAGCACACACAAATATCACACACAATAATACGTTACCTGAAGAAGAGGCGAAGGGATCTCATTTGTCCCAGGTCCACTCTAAAGACACCACAGACCTGCTCCAGGGCAAACACTTTCTGCTGTTCATCCCATCTGGTGCTCTGCGTTTGCCCATTATTCTCCTGGAACTGGGCACTGGTGTCGAGGCTGGAGGCAGAGCTGGTGGAGCAGGTCATGCGATTGTCACACGTGTCCCTGCAGACAAGAGCGTGGAGGAAGAAAGCCCCACAAGACATCAGCCAAAGAAGACTGCATTTACATGCAATAACCACAAATGCTCCAAGTTAAAAATCCTTTGACAGAGCTCTGAAATTGGAATTCAGTGCAGGTCTAAGGAGTCAATAACCGACAGCCCACATAAGAGATTAAATTATTGTTATTTAAACTAATTCCCTCCCATCCCAAAAAACCGATCCTGTTTTTGGTCTGCTCCTGAATTCCACACAGAACCGGGGAGAGCGAAAACCATTCCTCAAAATACTGACTTTTGAGAAGGCAAAATTAAGAAGCCCAGAGTGGGAACAGCCCAGACTGCTCCGAGGAACAGCCCGTCCTCTGCTCCTTCGTCGCAGCACAAAGACCAGTTTGGGGATCCCGCCAGTCCAGCAGGCACTTGCCTGCCCTCCAGCCCACACCACAGAGCCCTGAGCTGCAGGACCCCTTCAAACCATTATGCCTCTGGGACTGATGACCCCTTGGGATGGAAAATGTTGGGCCATTGAAAAAACATGACTGCAGAAGCACAGGTCCTCGACAGGCTGCTTCAGCAGCTCCAGCAGCACTCAGTGAATAACTTCCAAAGGAAGAGACTTCTTGCCCCAAAGCTCAAGCAACCTCCTCAGCATGCAGCTCAGCTGCCCCGCACCGGGCCAGGGACAGGAGGAGTGAGCGCATTCAGACAGCAGCATTGACTGGGGATCTCCTCTGGAAAATTCCCTCAGTGACCAGTAAGATCCAAAGGTATTTCCCCTGAACTCAAGTTTCTTATTACGCATTTGCAAGTGGACCTGACAAGCCTGGATTCATGCGTATAAACTTCAGACAAATGGTTTTCGCTTGCAAACTTGAAACTTCGGAGAGTTAAGGAGCGGGAAATTACGCATGAGCTCTTTAACCCGCCGCAAAGTAGAGAAAGTGAACCCAGCCGTTTTCCAATATGCTAGGAGCTCACTGTGCCCCAGATATTTATCTTTAAGAGTAAACTGAGTTTAGATTAAAAAAACCCACATGCCCGCCACCAGCCCTGATCCCAAAAGAAAAATATCACTACTTTGAGAATTAAGTGAATCTGAAACTGTGACCCCTTGATTCTTAAAAAGGCCAATACATGTGAACAATCTCAGCGCAAGCTCTGAATGGGTTCCGCTGTGAAATCAGGGTTTGCAAAACAAGGCAAGTAGCAGGTATAAAGACAGCCCCCTGCAATGCCACTTTATGCAATGTTTTCTAATCCGCTTATCTAACAATGTAGGCACTGAACGCTGAAAATCACACACTGAGCATGCATCTGCAGCACACCACATCAGTATGCTTTCCAAGCCTGGCTACAGTGCCTCTTCCACAGGGACGAGCCTTATTTGCAGCGTCTACCCATGGTTCAGGTCATTGCATTCCAATGGACAGGTCTCCGGACATCCCAGTTAGTTGTGGGTTAAATTTTTAACCAAGCCCCCTGCGAGCCGCCCAGTTCAAATGTATGACTCAAAACCTTAGTGCCCACACGCATGGGAAACAAATCCCCGAGCCCTCTTCTCTAGTTCTGCAGCATTATGTAGATGAGACGAAGTCTGTTTTACTTTCAGCCAAAAGAGCGGCTTCGCTACTCTGTTCATGAAGTTCTGCTGCTCCATTTTTCTGAAAGAAGGCATCACAGCAAAACTTACATTCAAGCCATTTGGAGGTTGAGGTCTTAGAAGTGACACGGCAATATCGCCATGCGAGCAGGGACCATACGACATACCCAAACTCACTCAAGGACGAACGACAGCAGTTTTTCTAGGGTAGATACCGGGATACTTCCAGCCTCACAAGCACAGCTACACACCATCACCTGCACCTTGTGAATAATTCCATGAAAATTGTACTGGCCTTTGTGAAAAATCAAGCGTTACTTTCTGATAAAGCTGCAAAATATAACACTTTCCTACAACATTCAGTATCTCATGTTAATGCAGAAGTAATAGGAGTCCTGGTACAAGACACTTGTGCTGAACTGCTTGCTATAAGCAGCTGGTATTTATGGAGCAACACTTCATAACAGCCACAGCTGGTTACACAGGATTTTCCTGGAAGAGATGACTCAAACCAGCTCAAAGACTAAGCAGAGGCAACCATTTTTCTAAAACTCTTGCAAAGATGAACTGGTCAGTATGACAAAGAGCTGGAAGACGTGTTGGTTGTGAGGATCATTGTCCCTGCTGTTCCCTCGTCACAGACGCCAACGTGCCCATTCTTCAAGAGCATCATCTCAAACGACCAGTGGCAGAGAGACGACTGCCAAGAAACGATAGTTACCAGTAGAGCTGGGCAGGCTCGCTTTGATCCCGGGGAATCGTGTAGCTCCTCAGTACAGAACGCTACTGCCAGCTGCAGTTACTCGCTACGTAACCAAAATCTGCTTCAGATACACAAGTAGCTACCCGAAAACTCAGAGGCTGGAGAGCCCAGTCACAAAGATGCTGGCAATGTTATATTTTCTAGAAATGCTTCTTCAAGACAAATGTTTACAGTTCACATTTAGCCACTAGTTACAAGCTTGTGCACGCATCCAACATACACGGAAGCAATCTGAAGCAACACGTTGCTAAAGTGGATTTACCCTTTCTGGACAGCAAAAAGCCAGTGAGTGTAAGCACGGTGCCTCAGAGTGTGCAGCCCAGGGAAATTCCAATGTTTTCACTGATGTAGAAGATGAAATCTGAAAGAGCCATCTGTGCACCCCGTGCCCTTCGGAGAGGTCAATAAACATGTACATTCATACACAGTATAGATGCAGAGAGAGTACCACCTCAGACATTGGGGCATACCTAGTCACTGTGGAAATTAAGAAAACAACCTCACTGTGTTTAAAATTACTTTTTCCTGTATATATTGATTGAAAAAAATTGAAATGATTCTAATCTGTTGGACTACTTTGTAAAATATTTTTAATATTGAGATTATTCTGTACTTAAGTAACAACAAGTAGTATGATCAATGCTAATTTTGTGGATTTTGGGGAGTCCTCTAACTAGGCACACAAGATACACAGATGCAAGGGAAGAATTCTCCAATGTATTATTTGTCAGGCTATTATATCTGCTAGATGAGGGATTTATACCAGAGTGCCCTGCAAAAGCAGGGAGCTGAAGCACTGCAAGGCAAATAGCTGGAGGAACATTCCAGAGAGACTTCGGGTTGTGGGATCCAGGAAAAACAGAGCGCCAGCTAGTATACAGCACTGCTCAGCAAAACAAGAGGACAAGTGCAATGGTCCACGGGAATAAAAGGGACAGGGGAAAAAAAATAAGGAGGATTAGCAAAACCTGAGGCAGGAAACCCACAGACATATTCATGATTCCACTTAAGCCTTTTCCCCTTACTGAAGTCGCATTACTCTTTTGTCTCAAAATACATCTCATTCTTGCTGCTGAGCAAGACCAGGTGGTGATGTATTTTCTCCACTCAACAATCAACTACAGCAAGCAACCGTATCTACATTCCTCAAGCTTTGGCAGCCCCTAAGAAAGCAAGCGCTTGCATAAGGCAGCCACCGTCCTCCTCCCACCGCACGGGAACGCTCGTGCACGCCCGATCCGAGGAGGTCAGCCACACTTGGCAAGTGCGACTTTCGACGTGGAGTAATGTAGTAATGGGACCTGACTTACTGTTCGGTCAAAGCATTTGTACACACCTACTGCATAAAGAGAGATAAAACCAATTATTATTTCTGTTACAGAGCCAGGGCAGAGACCCGCACCAATTACATGGGAAGGCTATCTCAGCAACAGAGATCTAATAACTCATTTTACGACATGATGTGACAAATGTAATTATAAGAGGGAAAGGGCCTGAAGATTATAGTCACGATGTGGCAGTTACCTAAGCTGTCAGCGTGCACCACCTGATTCCCAGAGAGCCTCTTGCAAGAACCAAACCCTCCTCAGTTGGCTCTCCATCACCATTGTACTAAAGCACGCCTTCGCTAATAACAGCTTTCCTTACCGCCCGAGCTATTCCTGCACGCCGGCTTGTGAAGCGTCATTTACAGACAATAAGTATCATCATAATGTATGAGCATCCATGTAATGGGAATTACATGCCCCTTTTCCTCCCCAGGGGTTAGCATTTCTCTGTTTCTCCACTATTCCCCACAGGCACTGACCTTCTAGGTTCCTCTTCTTTCCAGCAAGGTGAAATAGCTCATGGCAGCATCAGCTGCCTAAAATGTCTAAGACAGATAGCTTCAAATAAATAATCCATCAATAAAAGTTCAAAGCTATCCTGAAATGCCTAAAAATTTAGTGTAGTGACTGTACAAAGTGAGGTAATATCAGGCAGCTGGAACCCAAATCTATTGTTCTGATTAAAAAAAGTGTCCTTGACAATATACATATATAATGAGTTGTGAAACACGCTGACTTCAGTGGCGTATAAAAGACATGCAAAAGAAAACAGATTGGTAATTTGGGATCATAAAAAATTTGTCGAAATATTTCTGGTCCTTCCAAGTCACGCTGCAGAGGAAGACTGGAAGGACATCGTGGGATGGCACCAGCTTCCAGAGGAGCGTGGCCATGCAGAGCCAGATGTTGACAGTGAAACGCTGCAGTCGCACCAGCTACTCGCATCTGACCAGCACAGATGAGTAACTAGGTTAAGAATTGTGTTAAATTCACCCTTTGGCTGAAAATATTTGGAACTTGAAGTTCCTTTGCCTCAGAGAGCCCGAACAGAATCGATTTACACTGACCTCGGTGAACAGGGAAAAAGGTGTTAGATAGTCTGGATGAAAGCCTAACCAGAATTTCTGAAATTAAATGTCAAAACATCCTCATGTGGAAGCGTATCTATACGTCTGCAAACACGCATGGAAACAAATTCTTCCTATTTGTTAGGGAAACCTGTGAACAACTGCCCAGGACGTTACAGTACAAAGTACACGAATGTCAACATGGACTTTCCAAAAGCTTGTTCCACAGGCTTTCCATTGATCT